AACAGAGCTGCTGATGCGTCTTCTCCATGTGGCTGCCAGAGGACAGAATGAGTACTGATATTTTATGTGTGGGCGTCCATCTGCTGCTCAAGACCTGGAACTGCAACAGAAATGAAGTTCATCCATGTTCCACTATAAGCCTTGGGATCTGAACTCTGAACAATTTAAATTTTCTTGGTTCTGTTACTGTTTCTGTTTGAAGTGTCTTTCTGATTAGCTGGGCTAAAAATACAAGGGGAGAAGAACCACATTAATTGATAGGAAAACATTAGGTTTCATGTGTGCTCCCCCCTAAAAAAATGTATATACTAATGCACATACTGTAAACAAAGTTTATTCTCTTTAAGAAGACACCCGAGAGCTCCAATTTCAAAACTGAGATATAGTAGAGCACATTGTAAATAAGTCAGAGGTTAAAGATTACAGTTGATACAAGCATCCAGGTAAAACAGCAGAATGTCAATGCTTGATCAGTTGCTTCTTGTGTAGTAGAAATATTGTTGTATATTAAAAATGGGAGAATCAATACAGAATGAAAGAATGCCAAAAAGGCTCTTCTGATTCCTCATTTCCCAGAATACTCTTGAGCGTGCGAAAGATAGCGACAGTCAAAGAAACCACCACAATAACCACAGAGTAATCAGGAATGGTAATTGCTGTAATTTGATCAGTTTCGATCAAAACTGTTTTGCACACAGATTAGCTGCTCAAGGAATTACATAAACTGACTGCACTGACGCATTCATATCCTCCAACCATATAACTCAGCACTGTGTACCAACATGTATAATTTGCGTAGATGAAAGATAGTGATTTCGTACTATCAGACTCCCGTCTGTGTGAATGCTAATTTGCTGCCAAATCTGTATGTGCTGGCAGTTTGTCTGCACTGTTTTTCAATCCAGTTGGCACTAGATGCAGGACCTCCCAGATTTTGACAGTTATGTTCTTTGATTGACTCAATACCTGTGTGGCACGTCAAAAATCCTAAACCTTTGGAAAGTCATTTTATGTGTGACTCATCTTGTGCTCCACACTATGAAGGAGACGCCTCAAAACCCACAGATACAAATAGACCTGCTGGCAATTCCCCAGGTTTCAGACCCCAACCACTGTGACACCATGATGACAAAACAGCTCGGAGCTGTTTTGGTAGCACAAGGGGAACCTACACGTGGGTGGCAATGTCATGTTCTGTCACCTCACAGCAAGAAGATGATTGGTTCAAATATCAGTCGGGGCCTGTCTGTGTGGAGTATGTGTGTTCTCACTGTGCCTTGCGTGGATTTCCTCCAGATACTCCAGCCTCCTCCCACAGTTTAAAGACATGTCTGTAAGGTTAAATGACAATACTAAATTGGCCATGGAACTGACACAAATAAAGTGCTTCAAGAGTGAATGTGTGAAGCATCCCTTATCTTTAGCTAGTTCAACACATTCTCATTTGTGGTTAACAAATGATGTATTTTGTAGACTTTGGTTACTGAACACTGTTTTCATTAGCTAAACAGAGGAGTCGCACTAGACTACAGAGGCTTATCTTTAAAACCAAAGCAAATCCTCCAGATCTCATTCACGGAACAAAACATGTCAGAGAGATTCAAACCTCAGTCAATACATCTATGTCACAAAGGCAAAGACAGTTGGGAAGCAAGATCACATAAATCATAAAGTCCTGCGATTCAAAGGCCTTAGGTGGTATTGGGGAGCTATTAGCCGTTGGATCAAAAGTGCAAATCAAGCGCAAACATCCTACAGACACCGTTTTTATTTGTCAGTTATGACTCCTACTGACTTACCAATGTTCCCACCTTTAAAATAAACTGCCAAGAAGTCACTCATTGACATTGGTGCAACCAGAAGAATTCCTTTCAGCATTATGTTTTTCTTTTTCTTTTTTTTCTCAGTAATTATACTGTATGCTTGCACGCTCAGTTAAATTGCACAACACGTAAGAGTTGAAAACCACACCTGGATATACAATGAACCTTGGCTCTAAAGAGGTTTAAAAACAGGACGACACTTTTAAAATGACTTAACCGTGCATTATTTATTTATTTATTTATTTGTGTGCCCAAAAGCTGAGTTCATCGACACAATCTTGCTCATGCGCATTCATTAAAGGGTAAAAAGTGTCAAGTTTCCTGCATGATCAGTACTTCAGAGTGTCATCTGAACTCTTAACAACAAAATGAATCAGTAATTAAATGTTATTACTGAGCTTTGCGCTAATCGCACATCCTAATTTGTCCCCAGACTTGGAAAATATCCCTGAAAAGACTGAAATCTGACGTTTTTTGTGTTCTAATTTGACCTTTAGCAGTGAACTGTATTGAATGTTGACTCTGGGTGTGTCGTCCATTTTTTTAAAATTTCATATCAATCAGTCAAGTAAGATTCTGTTCAAAGAGTGGTGATTAAACCTGTCAGAGCCTGCCTTGGCGCATCATACCTGTATTTATGAGCACTGACTGTTTGAACAAAGAGTTAGGCTGGAAACGAAAGTAACCTTTCTTTTCGTAAATACTTTACTAATACCAATACTATACTAATACCCTTTCAATGCATCAATTACCGAGTTCCATTCAAAGAAACGCTAGCAGATGTCCACATGTGCTTCTCTGAATCTTCGTGGGTGTGTGCACAGGCATGTGCAGGACCTCTGTGTCAGTATTTAAACACCAAAGACATGTTACCTCCCCACACTTGCTCTGCCATCATGGATGTGAAAGTTGGGTTTGTGATTGTTTGTCTGTGCACTTTGGCCATCACCTCCAGTGAAGGTAAGGACACTCAGGCCAAATACATTTGGCAAAATCAAGGAGACATTTGGACTGAATATGCACTGATTTATACATCAGGTGCATCCAAAATAAGCAAATAAATTGACACTTAGAGCTCTTTTGTATGTGCAGGTGTGTGATTACCACATTCCTCCTAAAGTTTAGAAATGATGAAAACACTTGTCTGTCTTTTCAATAATTTTAGTGTTCATACAGTGTTTTTAAAGACATTTTGTATAATGCTTCTTATCTGTTTAACAATGACCACTGTTACATGACATGAAATGTTTAATCCTGTTCAGTTTTATGAGGCTCCATAAAAACATACATTACATTTGGTCATAATCTCACCTTACAGCTGGAATTCCAAAATGCTGCATAAATACAAAGAGTGACATCCGGCCACGAATACTGATGAACGTTCAAAGATGGGAGATGCAGGAAAGCAACGGTGCCTGTGACATCCAAGCACTTGTGTAAGTGTTGAAAACGAATTTTCCAAAAGGTTACAGGTAATTTTGCAGTTATTACATGATCATTCATGTAATCATGCATTCCTCAGCTGCACAGTTTCAGTTAAATAATGATCAGGAATCAAACTGTAAACTAATACCTTTTACTTCAGGTTACATTAATATTTGTATTTAATTGCTTTTCCTTGTGCATCCACAGACTGTATGTAAAGAACTTCAAAAAGCCAGTATGTGCTCATCCCGATGTGAAGCGAAAACTGAAGACCATTCTGAAAATAAAGGACCAGATGGCGCGCCGACGTCCTTCCTAGGACAAGGAGCAAAAGAAACGTCTTCTCCAGATGTTCGTGTGTCATGTTTCCCACAAAAGGTGTTTTTCAGAGTTTTTATTATGTAATAATTATCATTTAGTTCCACCTCAGCTGCCTGCAGCAACATTGCTTACATGTTAAGGCATTGGTACAGTAATATCACATTACTTCTGCTACTATACTTTAGTTTTACATTGACAGATACCATCCTACTTCTGAGTTGCTACTTTAAGTGTATTATGCTGTATGTAAGAAAAAACATAGGTTTGCATGTAATAGAATATGAAGTAATGGAGTATTTTTTTACAGTGTACTAAAACTTTTTAAACTGTTTAATGATGCAACTATATCTTGTACCACTGCGCTGATGCCAATAGATTTTTTTTTTTTAAAAAAAAAACACTGTAAAGTGTGATGTCTATTTTTCTTTTACTTTGTTTTTTATTAATCTGCAAATATATAGTAGTTAAGATCATCAGGCCATCATTAGACTACCAGCACGCAGCTTGATAGTGTAGTAGTTAACACAGTTGCTTGGCAAAAGAAGGGCTGCTGGTTCAGTTCCAACTAGAGACAAGGTTGTGTCAGGAAGTCAAATCAAAAATCTTGTACTACCTTTTGTGACAAGTAGTTTCCATGTTAAGCTTAAATAAAATTGCATCATGGTAGCAAAGCTGCTTTTGCCAACAACATTCAGTCATTTCGGGAAGTGTCTTTCGTAAATGTTGGTTGCAGGAAACCATTCCTTGAGAAATCCCTTTAAAAAGGAAACTGGCCTCTGCTATTCACTTATATTGAAGCGCTGGAAAAATGTGACCTACTCCAAATAGTTTCCACATACTAGAGGTATTTGATAAAATGTTAAAAAAGAAGAAGAAGAAGAAGAAGAAGAAGAAGAAGAAGAAGAAGAAGAAAAACCACCCACCACACTGTGGTGTGTTACTATAGCTCACTTAGTTGAGCTGTTCTAAAGGTGCCGCAGGGACCTGGAGCTATGTCTGGCCCAGACCCGTTCCTGCATGTCACTGCTGCTGTCTAGTCCTCCAAAAAAGAAAAAGGTCCACGACATTCCTTTTAACCTTTTAAAAGTGACCCATATTCTTTCTTACTTCTTTGTGTGGCATTCATTTTCTCTAATTCTATATCCATGAGTCAGATTCTGTTTAAATAATGGTTATTACACATGTCTGAACTTGTGGACAATACATTAGCCTGCTGTAAGATGTAAGATGAATTTTTACAAAGCATTCGAGTACTGTCCAATAAACTTTATATTTACCTTTATCACTGTTATGATTTTGGCAACATGATTTTTTTCAAAGAGCTACTGACTGGTTAAACTACATGTCCACACACGTCTCAGTGTTGGTGGGTGGGTGCACAGATATGTGTCAGTATTTAAACACCAAGGACACGCTTCCTCCCCACACTCGCTCTGCCATCATGGATGTGAAAGTTGTCCTTGTGATTGTTTGTCTGTGCATTTTGGCCATCACCTCCAGTGAAGGTAAGGACACTCAGAGCAAACACACATGCAAAAACCAAGAGAGCACTGGCACTTCACAGATCATACATCAGGTACATCCTAAATAAATAAATGAGCTCACATTTAAAGCTGTTTTGAAAGAAAAGGGCATGTGTGTGGCAAGCACATTAATGTTGAAGTCAAGATAAGATGAATACAGTTCTCTGTTTTGGCCTGAAATTATTCCAATAAAAAATCCAATAAAAATTTGTTTCAGCAAGTTAACGTTCAGCTGACTCATCTGCTCAGTTTAACCACAACCACCATTGCACAATACAAAATGCTGAGCTCTGTTCTGTTTCATGGTGTTCCAAAAAATGCGCTCTGCTCTCGGGAAAAAAGTAGACTGGTCTGTAAAAACATGAATGTTTAGACTAAGGGGGGGTTGTCTCTTTTTGGAGCAATGATAGTAAGGACGCACATCCTCAGAGTAACTATCATGGAAGAAAATGATCTCTATATATGTTTTTTAATCAAAGAAAACATAATGTAATTTCCATATTTTGGTTTTAATCTCACGTTACAGCTGGAATTCCAAAATGCTGCTTACATACAATGAAAAAAATCCGGCCACGGACACTGATGAACGTTAAAAGATGGGAGATGCAGGAAAGCAACGGTGCCTGTGACATCCAAGCACTTGTGTAAGTGTTGAAATTACTCATCCGATTAGTTTAACCACAGGTTACGGGTAATTTTGATCGTCACATGATCATCGATAACATAACATGCACTGATAATCTCTACTGTATGAATTTTATAATGATCAAGACTGATCAAGAAATAAACATTGTCACCAGATTCTATGTCTATTTGATCTTACTCGGAGTTACATAAATATTTGTGTTATTATCTTAAACTGAAACATCATCGTGTTTTCTTGTGCATCCACAGGCTTTACGTAGAGGGCTATGCAAAGCCAATATGTGCTCATCCTAGTGAGCGCCGCAGACTGAAGAGAATGAAGATAAAAAGACCGTAGGGTGTGGAACAGAAACTTTCTTCTCCAGAAATCTTCATATCATCTGGTGTTTTCAAGAGTTTCAAGAGCCTTCATGTAATTGTCTTCTTTTATTTTGATCTTAAAGGCAGCTATCTGCTACTGTAACTCTGTTGCTAAGAAACTTTGCACGTACTCAGGTACATTTTAGAGGTACTACTATTATTTTATATTCTGATTTTTTTACCCAAATACCATATACATGTCATCACTTTTCATGAATTGCTATTACTAAAGGTACATGAGTCAGTTAGATTTGTCTCCATCTCAGCTGCCTGTAAGACTACTGCTTACAAGTTAAGACATTTATAGTGATGGTGTGTAACATAGAATCCAGCATTGACAGATATCATTCTCGGGCATTTCATTGGGTATTTTTGTAGCATTGTATCCATTTTTAAACTGTTCAGTCCTCCAGGTATATCTTGTTCTACTGCATTTATACAAGCAGAATTAAAAAAAAGTCACAGCGAGGTGTGCTGTATTTTTTCTTTTACTTTATCTACACATGCAAAGAGCAGTCAAGATTGTCCAGCCATAGTGAAACTAGCAGAGAGATATTATGATAACGAAGCTGATGATATTTAATCATTTCACATACGCAGCAACATCAAAAGTTTAATGGGCGGGATATGGCCCAAATAAACTTGAAGTGCAGCTTTAATGTGGAATACTTTAAAGTATTAAAAAAGCACAAAACAAAGGCAACAGTGAACAGAGGGAGACTCATACAATATAAACACACGAGGTTATGAAGGAAATGGGAAACAGGTGAAAACACAGCTGAAGACAATTAACCTAATGAATCTGGATGCAAGACATGGAAAATAACTGGTGTCAAAATAAACCAGGAAGCAACAAATACAGTTAGAACACGCAATACAAGACAACAATAGGAAACACTGGGTAGGACGGGCAACTCCAAAATGAAAGTGTCTAAATAATCCCCCAAACACCAGAACTCTAATGATAAACAAAACCATAAAAGTACAGAGAAAATCAATGTAGACACCAAGGTCTTTGTTAAGTAAATGTTTCTTTGTGGCTAAAGCAAAAAACTCAGTAACTTCCACTCACTAATATTAAAGCAATGAGAAAAGACGAAATACTGCAAATAGCTTCTTGTAAAATTAGACATTTAAGAAAAAATTGACCAAGTGGTTATCGTGAAAATGTATTTTGCATATTTGAGCTACCTAAAAATGCTGTTGGGATTGTGACTCTATGTTTTCACAGAAAAGAAAGTAAGAGTGAGATGTACTAAAAGTGACAATTGTTCTTTCGTGACCGTTGGCTCTACTTGTGTTTTCATTCCATACACATCAGTTCAATAGGATTCTGTTTGAAGAGTGGTTACTGGACCTGTTAGAGCCTGTTAGAGTCTGAGTCAAGCACTCCAGTAACTGACAGCACTAACAATTTTAACAAGACATTGGGCTGAAAGTGAACGGAAAACTTCATTAATTTTTTTATTAAGTATGGCAGTTATTTAATAACCTTTTAAAATTTATATTACTATTACTGTTTTTAATGTTTAGGCATCGTGTTTCATTCAAAGAGCTTCTTACTGGTTAAAGCACATGTTCACACACTCCCTTCTGAGAGTTGGTGGGTGGATGCACAGGTACGCTTTGTTGTCAGTATTTAAACATCAAGGGCACGTTGTCTCCCCACACTTGCTCTGCCATCATGGATGTGAAAATTGTCTTTTTGATTGTTTGTCTTTGCGCCTTGGCCATCACCTCCACTGAAGGTAAGGACACTCAGAGCAAACACACATGCTGAAACCAAGAGAGCACCTGCACTGTACAGATTATACTTCAGGTACATCCTAAATAAGATGTTTTCTGAGAAAATTGCAATGATAACTACGCTACATTCCTCCTGGGATTTAAACAAGATGATGATGCATGTGCATTTTAGCACAGCTGGTTTTTGGAGGGTTTTTTCAGTTTTTTCTTCATCCAGCTGTTTTAAAGCATAAAATTATTCTAGTAAAAATATGTTTCAGAAAGTTAACTTTAAGCTGACTTATCTAATCAGTTTAACCACAAAGACTATTGCACAAAACAAAAAGCCTAGCCCTGTTCGGTTTTATGATGCTAAAAATACAAAAATTAGACATATATAAACTTTTTATAAAAGTGCAATACTGTAAGTTTTTTTTTGTTTGTGTTTTTTTGGAGAACTGTTAGAATGGACACACAATTATTCTCTAGCAAATGTCTTTTTCTTTCATTTTTTTTTATATTATGTTAGTTTTATACTTTTTAAAATTCTTAATTTTGGTCTTAATCTCACATTACAGCTGGCATCCCAAAATGCTGCATGACAGCAAACAAAAAAATCAAACCATATATGGTGAAGAACATTCAGAGATGGGAGATGCAGGAAATCGGTGCCTGTGACATCAGAGCACTTGTGTAAGTGTTTGTTTACTTAAGTGTGCCAAAAGGTTACAGGTAATATTGTAGTTATTACATGATTGGTAAAGTAAGTGTTAAGAATTATTGACAGTAATTTTGTTTTGTTATGATTTACTTATAACATCATGCATTCATCATATAAAATTAAAATTTTATGTAAAAAATAAACACCAATAAAGAAACGTTATCCAGAGGCAGTTTTCCTTACTTTTTGCTTAGGGTTACTGTATTTGCACTGTTATGCTAAACTGAAATGTATTTATGTTTCTTTGTGGACCCACAGGCTGTTTGTAAAAGGCTCCAAAAGGCCACTGTGTGTTAATCCGAGACTGAAGCCAAGCCTGGAGCGGCAAATGAAAAAGAAGAAGAGATTTTCCTGAGATGTGGAACAAAAAACGTACTTCTCCAAATGTCTGGGTATCATGTTTCCCACATATGATGTTTTCAGAAGTTATAAGATATACATCATCATGCTTGGTTGTTGTTGTTGCTTTTATTTTGATCTTAAAAAGCTATCTACTGTAACTCTGTTACAAAGCAACACTGCATTTACTCAAGTACTTTTTAGGGGTACAACTGTGGTTTCATATACTGACACTTTTTATTAAGAAAATGTGTCATTACATTTTATGCATTATTATAAATGAAACTACATGAACTGGTTTGAGTTGAGCCCATCTCAACTGCCTGCAGTGGTACTTCTTGTGTTAACGCATTAATGTGATGATATTATTACCACTAGTACTACTATTACAACGTAGAATTAACAGATACCACTCTACAGCATGTAATAGTGTGTGCCATAGCCTGTAAAAGTGTTTATACATTAAGAATAAAAAAAACCTTTAAACTGTGATTCATATCATTCTTTTATTCTATTTTGTCTGCACCTGAAAGAGTGGTCCAGCCATAGTTCAGCCAACCAGCATAGACACATTATGATAACAAAGTTGCTGCTGGGCAACAATGTTCAGTCATTTCAGAAACGTGTCACGATCAAAATAACGGCAGCACGGTGGCACGGTGGTTAGCAC